CAGTTTGGGAGACTTTGCAGTTATTTGATGTTGACCTTTTTTCTTTGTAGTGGTTTAGTTTCATTTTCTTGTTACCGTTTTGTTTCTTAGTGGGTATGCAGGACGCATGATGTAAACCTGGACCATTTGACAGACTGTATTTTAAAGCCCAACTTAAGGTATTTTTTGAAATCTGTTAATACTTTGCTGCAATGTAAAAATCTCTAGTAAGACTCTGCAGTTGACGTTCATTCATGTTCATATAATGCTCTGTACTTGGTTATTCTGTAGCACTTTTGGTCCTTTTTGGACCATTTCAAATGTGGACAGGTAAGCCAAGAAGATATCCAGCTTTTGTCAGTCTTGACATGCACAGCAGTCACATTTTGTGCTGTGTCTGCACTAGGCTGAGAGTCTTTCTGGCCCCCATGTTCCCTCTTCATCTTCTTGGGAAGAACCTGTSAAAAAATGAGTGAATCCCTGAAACCAGCTGTCATCTAGCTGAGCTGAGGCAGTTGGGATAAAGCATCCCTGGTTTCATGAAATTGCCATTTTCTTCTTGTCTCCTCCCTCCAAAAGGAAAAAGCTTGTTAAAACCTTCTGCCTACTTAAACATATAAAGTCTTGAAGTGTTTTTAATTAAAGAACTTAATCTTTGGTTTTATTTTCAGATTTTAACCGGGTAGAATTTTTCTCTCTTTCCTGAGACTTAAAGTCTTTGGGACCTAAAGATTTAGACCTACTTTAGCTGTAGCCTATGTAGGTTGTAGTGTGGCTCCGGAGGGTTTTATAAACTTGCTGATTTGAGTGCTTGTGGGAGGATCCATCAGTAAATCCACATAAAACAGTACATTTTATCCAATGGATTTTTGGCTAGAAATTGGGATTGAGTTGTGAATTTAATCATGTTTTAGATGTACTGCTGGCAATTTTGCCTGTTAATGAGTGATGATTAGACAGTCTAAGCCTGCTTATAGTGCTTCTTAGAGTGGCCATCCCCAAAATCAGTCTCCAGGAACAGCAAGGAAACAGAAGAACGTCTTCTCTATGGTGTGACTTTGCAGCTCCTTTATTTTCCATCTCCTCTTAGAAAATACCTTGGATATGCAAAGGAACACTCCTTTTGTTGGATGTAGTCTGAAGGTCTTCTGTAATGGTTTTACAGTGTGGGGTTTTTTATATGTTCGGTTATTATTATTAAATGCCTCTGTGTTCTAGGAAATTGTGAGTTAGGCAAATGAGTTGATCAAAAGCAGCCAGGGTATGACTGGGCACGGAGCCCCTTCTGTGCATGCGTGTGTGTGTTGTGTTAGTTGAAAGTCTGCCCCTGCAGCTAACCAGCCTTGGGGAAAGCGTGACCCTTCTATCCTAAAATGTCAGGCAAAACTCCTGTTGAACTAGTCTATAAGGCTGCTGCAGTGTGTGCAGTGAAATATTGAAAGTCTGACCATCGTGGTTCCAAGGTTTCTCAAAGAGAAAAGGGCAGKGAGGCAGGAGTGGATCTAACATTCTTCAACTAGTCTCAGCACTGATATGCAGATTCTAAAACYACATTGAGTCATGGAGCTTGAAGCTCTTCTGGAACACACCAGTATTTTACTAAAAGATCCTATAAACTTAAGACCTCGTGTAAGCCCAAAGCTAACTGGAAGCCTCATTAATCCCAGCTGGATTTGGAGTGTTGTCTGCTTTCCCAGAAGATGCATCCTAATGAAATTCAGGTTCCAAAAGGAAATGTTTTGTGTTCATTGCTATTGTCTCTGCTAGAAAATCCCCTTGTTGTGGTTAGTCATAGTGTAGTCGTGTGGGTTTGTTTGTTTGTTTAGTTGTTTTTTTTCTTGAGTCAGATCTTTTTTTTTTTTCTGGGAAAAATTCTTGCCTTTCTGAGATTTTAGAATATAGAATAGATGATGTGAAATATTTGTTGTTCTCTGAGTCCCTCAACATRGAGCTTCCCAATCTTGGGAAGCTGGGAGTGTAACTGAGTATTTCTAAACCTCTGCAAAGACGAACAGGAACGCCAAGGAGCTGTCTCATGCTRTTTCAGTTTTGCTTTGTGCTGTTGAATTAATTTGTCATTTGTAACCTATATATTTGAAATGTCCTGATATATTTGCCTTTGAGGTTTCAAATTGCTCTAAGTTCTCCTTGGTCCTAAGCATCGCTCCACCAGTACCTGTTGATGGTTGAATCAAAGTGTGATTTTGCAGCTTTTATTTTTTTAAYCAGTTTTCCTAACTTTACACCGCGTTTCCTAACAGTAAGTTCATAGCCAGGTTTAATAGCCTTGTTCATTGCCATGTGTGGATTGCTCTGGTGCTGCTTGGCAAGTTGCTTGTTAGGGAAGGCAGCCCTCACTGTGGGTGAAGGAGGAGGATAAAGATTTGATGCTTCCATAAAAAGCACAGTAAAAAACTTCGGAAGCAAATCTCTTACTGGAGGCACTTGCTGCAGAAGACTTCTGAAATGATGTGTGAAGCACTGGTGCTTTTTCTAAATAGAGCAACTCGTGCCAGCCGCATTGCTACAATTTCATTTCTCAGTTCCCTCAAATGAGGCGGGAAATGTAATTTTAAGAAAATAATTATCCTCAATACTGTTAATTCCTCAATAGCAAAATAATAAGGAAAGAAAAGCCAGGTTAAATACTCTTAACTTTTCTTAAGTGGAATTATTAGATAAGGTAGTAGGTCCTTTTTTCTGTATCTGACAATTTGTGCACTTGTCTGATGAGGCACAGCTGTTAATGTTCTTGAAGTATTTCTTCCAACAAGGCTCCTTAAAAAATTGAAAAGCTATGGAGAGGAAAGCAGGAATTTGTTAAATTCCAAGTGATTACACAGCCTTTTTCAGGCAGCAAGGAGGCAGAAAGAAGCAGCTRTATCCTCCTGTTCAGTGCTAGTGGAAGAAAAGGGGCTGTGCGCTTTTATCTTCCCCACAGTAACAGCGGGAAAAACAAATGATCCGTCGGCAACTTGATAGCAACAGCTATCGGCAACAGCTTTATCTGAGCGGCAACGGCTTTACCTGAGCGGGGCGGGTCGTTCAAGCAGTGAGGGTTTCAGAGCGCTGGCTCCCCGCGCCACGTGCCCGTTGAACGTTAACGGCCGCCGTTAACGGCCGCCGGGGCGCGGCAGCTCAAGGAGGGGCGGCTCGCCGCGTGCCCTGTCGGGCCAGGGGCGGTCAGAGGGCACTCGGGGAGGCTTGCCTCGCTTTGGGGCTTCTTTGTGSCTTTCCGCTTCCTTTTATCCTTTCAGATGATGTTCTTCTTCCCTTCGAGCCGCATCTGTTTCAATTCGGTTGTGCTTTGGTTTTTGTGTCTTCTAACAAGTGCTGCGTTTGCTAAATATAAGGGGAAAAATATTTTAGAGGCTTTCTTAGCAAACTTCTACTTTGCCTTGCAGCAATTACTCTAACTATAAAGCAGTGACATAAATTCTGTATTGAAAGGGTTCTTGATAATATCCTGCTTTAAGAAGCTGGCATCTTCTCCGCTGCTTTCAATAGCTTCTTGAACTTTTAAGAATGTCYGTTATTCACCTTTTGCCTTGAAAATAGTAAAGTCATATGTTAGAGTAATAACTTAAAGCTTATGTTAAGTTTTTATGCAATTCCTTTTAACAGGAACCTTAATCCTGTTCTTGGAATTTGAAAAAAAAAAAAAAAAAAATCCCATTTCTGTGCTGCATTGTTAAGTCAAATTGCAACTTAAAATATGCTGCCTACACCTAAATGTGCTTGAYCTTCTCGTAAAAGCGGAGGGATTAAACTCCCTCTCCTTCCTTTGAGTGGAGAAGTCGGGTTTTCCCAACGTGATGGCTTGCAAACCTTCAGAGGAAGGAGTTCCTCATGTTATGGTTGATGCTGCTCTTCTGTGGAAGGCCAGAAGAAAGACCAGAAAGCCATTTAACTGTCATTCTGTTGAAATCCAGGAGTTGTGCTAGATTTTGGAATAAAGTGGGAATGCCTGATGGCTTTGAATTTTCAAAGATAAAATTTAAAAAAAAAAAAAAAAGTGATACAGAAGAGAGCAGGTAGAGAATTAGTTCCAGAGCTGTCCAAAACTGGACTTCCCTGTATAAAATACAGCTGTAGCCTGAGTATGTTTTTGAGATTTATGTTTATCTAGTTAATTTTTACTCCTAGAATGTTTTCCTCACACACAAATTGGAAGTTTGGAGCAAGAGAGTACAGCGTGTATGGAAAAACTAAGGTGTTAACTCTCTCTACCTCCTGCCCACTTGTAACCTCCAAGCTTTGGTTCTTGCAGTGTTTGAAGCTGAAGCCCTGGAGACCTAAATTCTTGAGGTAACCTCTGAACAAGTGCAGACAGGAAGAGACTGTTAGAGGTCATTTAACCTTCCTGTTATTGCCCACAACCTGTGGTTGAGGTTAGTTGTCTTTCCGTGTTCCTGTGTTGCAGTTGGAATGCCAGATTGCCGCTGTAGTTTGCTCTATTTAAAAGGCTGGGAATGCGATTGCAATTAGGAATGTTATTGAAAGTCTTACCAAATTCCACTTGTGTGTGTATAAATATATATAAAATACATATATTTTTTCTTCCTCTCTTCTCCTAGAACTCTTCAGATACTCTAGTTTTTCAGAATTTATTTTGCTTCTTGAATAGTGCCATGGCACTGTGTGAATGCAGCTGACATCTAGTAGAACAGCAGATTTCAGACAATGTGTCAAGCAGACATTTGCCGGAGACTTTGCAGATTTGTTTTCGTGAGCTTTATATGTTGTTTCTGCAACTTAGAACAGTTGCAGGATAATTGAGATTTCTTTTTTTCCTTTATGTTGAGTTGCAGTGATCTTTGAAAGCTTTAAGAGCAAAATTCAGTGCTGTTGGTATAGCTGTAGACTGGAACAACATGTCAGTTGTATCATTTTGGAAGAAAATAAGTGTCAACATAGTTCTTGATCTAAACAAACCGTGCATTTCTTCATATTTTTTTTTAATTGTGCAACTTCTCTCTTCCTATTTAAACTTAAAAAAAGTTGTTGTTTTTCTGTTGCAGAAAAATGCAAAGGGGCAGGAGTTATTTGACCAGATTGTGTATCATTTGGACCTTGTGGAAACTGATTACTTTGGACTACAATTCATGGATGCTTCCCAAGTTACAGTAAGTCTAAGTTAATCATAGTTCAATTCTTTCTTATACGTARAATTTCTGTAGTAGTTTGTGTTGCCTATTATAAATGAATCATCAGTGCAGATCTGTGGAGAAAAGTAGGTAGTAGGGTCTTCTACTGGAAAGAAATGATGTGGTGTTTTGTTCTTGAGAATAAAGCTGGATCTTCAGGATGTGACCTGTGTCATTTTATGTGATATCATAGAATCATAGAATGCTTAAGGTTGGAAGGGACCACAGAGGTCATCCAGTCCAACCCCCCAGCTCCAGCAGGGACACTCAGAGCATGGGGCACAGGGCCGCATCTAAGCGGGTTTGGAAGATCTCCARAGAAGGAGACTCCRCAACCTCTCTGGGCAGCCTGTTCCAGGGCTCTGKCACCCTCACTGTCAAGAAATGTTTCCTTAAGTTTCTGTGGAACTTCTGGTGCCTCAGCTTGTGGCCGTTTCCTCTAGTCCTGTCGSTGGCCACCRCTGAAAAGAGGCCGCCCCCTCYTCCTCACTGCCTCCCTTGAGGTATTTAKAGACACTGATCAGGTCCCCCCTCAGCCTTCTCTTCTCCAGGCTGAACAGGCCCAGCTCCCTCAGCCTTTGCTCATAGGGCAGATGTTCCAGGCCCCTGATCATCCTGGTAGCCCTGCGCTGGACTCTCTCCAGCAGCTCCACATCCCTCTTGTACTGGGGAGCCCAGAACTGGACACAGTCTCCAGATGTGGCCTCACCAGGGCTGTGTATAGGGGGACGATCACCTCCCTCGACCTGCTGGAGACGCTCTTAATGCACCCCAGGATCCTGTTGACCCTCTTGGCCACCAGGGCACACTGGTCATCTTGTCATCCACCATGATGCCGAGGTCCCTCTCTGCGGGGCTGCTYTCCAGCAGGTCCACCCCTAATCTGTACTGGTGTCTGGGGTTATTCCTCTGCAAGTGCAGGACCCATGATATGCTCTTGTTTTGGTCACACTAAAGTCTGGAAAAGTAGTAGCTATGGGCAAAGGAAAATGTACTTCGTGTTTTACATTCACAGTATTAAAATGGGTTGAATATGTTACAAGCAAGGGCTTTCTGTAACTCCTATCCTTGCTGTTCTGTGAACAGATGATTTTGTTTTCTAGATTTAGTTTTATGAGCAGTAAGCAAGAGAGGATATTTGCGCACCTCTCTACTACTGCTGCAATGAATGACCTCCAGCATCTACAGTTTAAAAAAAATACAGTTTACAGATGTAGGAAGACATTAATGAGGTAGGGTCAAATGGCTGCAACCTTGTAGCTAAACTGTGTGTGTGTGTGTGTGTGTGTGTGTGTGTGTGTGTGTGTGTAAAATTTTTTTTCTTCATCTCTTTACCTATGTGCTCAAGTGCCAGTATGACTGCACAACCTGGGTTGTGGAACAGAATATAAAGACTTAGAAAATAAGTGGCCTATTCAGATAATATGTGATTTTGTGTATATATATATATATATGTGCATATATATATGCATATGTAAAAAGCAAGAGAAGAAAGATATAGGTGCAATTAGGATAGAATTATGGATAATGTGATGGAACTGTTGACATCTTGTGAAAAGGGGATTCTCACTCCAGTGGTGGGATTTTCAGCTTCATTAGCTACYAAGTCCCTGGCACCTCTGTGGTGTGAGAGCTGGTGGGTATCTTACTAGCAGCGTGTAGGTAGCCTGTTCACATGCAATAATGACTTGGTATTGAAGGAGGAGTCTGTCTTGGGGAGAGCTAACTTCAAAAAGAAAACTGATACTAATCAGTTATTTCCTAATTCCTTTAATTCTATGTATTCGACATTGGAAAGCAATGTTTGAAAGGAGTATGTTATGTTAATGACTTTAGTATCTGTGTCCTAATAAAAACATGATATCATGTAAATGTTTATCTTTGGCAAAACTGAAGGCTCTTGTGAGTAGTAAGAGATGAGATGTGAGAGAGGATGCTTTCTAAAGATATCTCTGGCCCTGGTGTTCAGGGCAAAATGTGCCTATATGTGCAAGAGTTTTATAGAAGGCTTTGTGTGCTGTTAATTTATGCTGGAAAAGGTAACTAATGGCAGCTAGAGTTACAGAGGAATACAGGACTCTGGGAGMAGGATTATGGCTTTCTGGATCAAGAAGGTAGTGAAGTGCAGAGTTCTTTCTCCATGGGAGTGCAAGGCTGAAAGCTTCTGTCAGGTCTTGTCTAGCTAAAGCTGGGCAGAGAGTAGAGCTTAGAGCGATTCAGCCTGGTTGCAGGCGAGTATCCTAGGGTGCTGGTTTGCAAACAGTGCTCTCTAAATAMAGGGCTGTTGTAGGACCTCTTCTGTTTGGTTTGTTGCTGTAGTATAAAGGTCATTCTGTGTGATTGATTCTATAGTTCTCTAATCAAAACACAAGCAGAGAGCAGGAAAGGCTACAGCAGGTCAGAGCAGAGGTCTATTYAGCAGAGTTCTTTCTAAGGCAAAGGGGATGGCTTTTTGTAATAAATTAAGAAAGTGTTCATGAACCTTTTCTATTTCATTTTGACCTCGCAGAAGCTTTAGCCTGACTTCCACCCTGTGCAGGCAGGTCCGTATTTCAACTGCAAGTTGCATGGAAAAAGTGCTGCCTTTAGTCCGAAGTTTTGAACTTGTGACCTGCTCGTTTCATTTGCATGGCAATTAATGCATAGCCCACGTGGGCCTCTGCTTAGGCCCAGTGCTGAGCCCTGCCACTCAGTGGCAAGAGCAGAGCTGGCAGATGAAAGTTGTGTAAACTCCCTTAGGCCATAAACCTTTGTCTGTAGTATCTATTGTGAGTGCCAAACATCTTCAGGCCACCACTATAATAAGAAAGTACAGAATAGTCTTTGAGTAGTGGAGATAGCTTCTGTGCTCCAAGGCCAACAGCTTCTGAGTACAGTGCATGTCTTACAGTTCTGGGGAAAATGATGTTCCTGGCTGTAGTTAAGAAAAAAKGTAATTATTGAGCATACTTGCTTTGGAAGAAGGAAAAAAAAAAMCCYTTTTTTTTGTACATAAAAATCTTTAGTGCAATCAAAATATGTAAAATTCTGAAAGATAAGATTTCAAGAGTAAAGCACRAAGTTCTGCAAAGCCTGTTCAGCTTTGTAGTGGTTTGTATCTTGTGCTGTTTGAAGATACCCGTGAATGGAAAGATGTTGCAGAGAATCATCCGTGCTAAAGAGCTTATTTGATCAGTGATCAGCTTACCAGTTTATTCTACAGCAAAGCTTTCTGTACTGTCACATAAAAATTATCAGTTATTAACTTCAGAGCTATTTAAGGGGAGAAGAGTTGTTGAATATTGTTAGTATGTGGAAGAAAAAGCTGCTTTATCCTCTAGGTGWGGAAAATTTAAAAGACAGCATAGATATGTTGCCTGCTCACATCTGACACTTCTGGCTGATTACAACTTGTACAACAATACAGATTAGAGTAAGGCATAAAACTATATTTTATTCTAGTTGGACTCTAATAGCTTTGGACTATGGACTAAAGCTTTTGGACTTGCCCCTTTCTTCTTCAGCTAATGGTGCATCACTTAGTGGAACTGTGCATGGGATGAGTAAAGAATATTATGGATAGGAAACCTTTCCAGTGGTTTAGAGGAAATAAAGACTTTCTTTTAAGATTTTAAGATTTTTTTTTTCTTTAATTACTTTCACTGTGGGGTGTGTGTGTGTATGTTAAAGCAGAGCAGGAAGCCCTGCAAGCTATAGATGGTGCTGGAAATAGCAGTAGTAAATCTTAATGGACCCTTACTGCAGTGCTTAAATTACCATGGGGAAGCAGCGTATGCATCTTTGCAGACACTGGCCAGGTAAAACAATCTCCCCATGGCCTTTGGAGTACTCAGGGTTTATTTTAGTCTGCTGGTGACTCATGTTTATGTGTTTGCTGTTCAGGCTTGTCCTTTCTCTGTCTCTTACTCTAGATTAGCGTAAGAATTGAGGTGTCCCTGGGCTTTACAGCGCTTGGAGTGGCAGCATAGCCTGAGTAGCCTGSTATACTCTCAGGTCTGAATTCTGCTGTGGGTTAGCAACACATGSATGCCTTTAAATCCCTTCCTCCTTACTGAATTCCAAATAGAAGGATTGCTTTTATTGACTAGCCTGGAATTCACTTCTGCTTGCCACAGAGTTTTATACTAATTGAAACACTTTATTTATTTTTTTATTGAAGCACTCTTTTTTTAAATTCAAATCTGAACTTTTTTTTCCTCAAGTGTTTGTTTCTATAACTCTTATTAAGTRTTTGAGGGCTGTGGAAAATGTAGCGACTCGAACAAGTCAATAAGCCTGGTAGTGTGGTATCTGGGAAGTTTTTTCCTCATGTACTGCTATATACTTGCTTGTTGGGCAGAGCAGATTAGGGAGGAACCTTTCTGTTGTTTACATTGAAAGTCAGCAGAAATGGAGGCTGGTAAATATTTTGATAATACGGAATGTTTTGTTTTCCGCATCTGTTGGAAATGTCCTGTTTCCCCTTGAATAAACTATCAAATGAATTTGTGACTTTCCCTGTTATTTATAGCAGATTAATAGGGAAATTCATCCCTATTGTTACATATAGGGAAGTGAGGAACCTGCCTGTACTCCCCAACTCTTCTTTGTTCTGATGAGTTAGGAGCTCTTTGAGCAGGTGGTCCTCACAAGCTGCATCTGTGCAATGTGACCTGGGGACCAAATACCAGTCAGAGATGGAGGGTCCCAAGAGCTGTACAAGTGACAACAGTCCCGCTCTGCGCTTCACCTACTGATAGCACCACTGATACTGATACCAGTTCAGTAACTGTCCAGGCAGTGCAGGTGGYTTCATGGAGCTGCTGAACATTCAGTGACCTGTCACTTTCTGCTGCATCTCTCCTCAGCTGGCTCTGAGCCTGCACGTGCTTCAYGAGACTCCACAACACTGAGGGTCCCCACAGCAGCTCTCATCTTAAGTCTTTTCATAGTGTCTGTTTCTGCAGGACCCAAAGGCCCCAAGGGTTGGGACTGTGTCT